CAGCAGGAAGTAACCCCAAGATCAGTCTTCATCTGGGGCTGCTGCTGCTCCTCCCTCTCCCCCTTGTTTCTTTCCCTTCCCATTTTTCTAGTGGCGTGTGTCAGCCAGCCTGCCCTGCTAGACTGTTAGGATGATCACCCTGGCCAGACTGTTCACTTGTTCTGTTTGAGGCTTGCAATATTCGTGAGACTTGAGGCTGCAATCTTCAGCCCATCAAATGGAGGGAGGTGTTGGTAGATGTCCTTGTAGTCACTTTGGGTTTACATTAGCTGCTGCTTTTTTCCCTGCAGGAAACAAGAATGTGGTGACCAGGGAACATCTGGATCGAATGAAGAACAGCTGCATTGTGTGTAACATGGGCCATTCCAACACAGAAATTGATGTGGTGAGTAGCTGCAGCACCTGTCTTGGTTGGTCCTTGAGCCACAGCTTCATTGCTGAGTTCAGACCAACCCATTGGTGATGATCCCCTGCCTTCCTACCTCCTCACTTCAGGGAGCTGGCTTCTGTCCCTTTCCACAGTGATCCAAGGAAGGCAGTCAGTAAGTGATAACTCTGGCTTGTTTCTCTCTCTTCCTGTGCAGACTAGTCTCCGTACCCCAGAGCTGACTTGGGAGCGTGTACGCTCACAGGTGGATCACATCATCTGGCCAGATGGCAAGCGGGTGGTGCTGCTGGCTGAGGTATGTCCTTGAAGATGGGCTATGGATGCTGCAGCAATGTCAGTGCTGAAGCATTGCATTGTATGGAGACCCTGTACGTCCTGTTAGGCAGGAGAAAGTTGCAGGCAGATGTGGAGTTGGAAATTGGCTAGATACCAAGCTATGGTATAATAACCAAGACCAATATCTGTGGCTGGAAGTGTCTTTGCTTGTGAGGCAGAAGATTATGGCCATAGAACTAGTGTAGTCACAAGGTTTCTTGGCTTGAGTTTTCTCGAAGGGGTAGGCAGGACCTGTGTTTCACCTATGGTGTCTTGCTAGCCAGTTACCTGCAGGCTCATTCTTAACAGCCAGGGTTTATGCCTACCAATTAAAACAATGCAGACTAGATCTTGTTTTAGGAAGGACCAATAAGCTATCAAATGGGTCATGTTTTTCCTTTCTGTTCAATCAATCACTCTTAATTCTCTGGGCGTAGCACAGTTTTGCTGCTGGAATTGTAGGCACCAAGTTTTATTTTTGCTGGGGGAGGTGCGGGTGGGGGGGGGCTAAGATGATGGACCTGTGGCCCCAGCTCCCTAGTGTGTGGGCAAGGGCGTTGTGGGCACAGGTGACGCATGGGGGTAGGAGGGGGGCACAGGCGATCCTGGGGGTGGGGGAGCACTTGCCCCCCAAGATTCTTGCTCCCACAGTGGGGTGTGGGGCTGCAGCTGGGCTGGATCAGCTTTGGGCAGGAGCCATGGCCCAGCGGGCAGGCCCCAGCATGGGAGGGAGCACCGCCCCGCACTGCCATGGCCACCAAAATGAGATACCCCCTGCCTGCACAGCAGCAGCAGGGGCACAACTCCATGTTGCCACACCTCATTTTGGTGGCTGTGATGGCATGCTGCTCTTGCCTATGCCAGGTCCCACCAGGTGAGCTGTGGAGGCAGCTCCTGCCCAGATCTGATCTGGCCTGGCTGCAGCTCTGCACCCCTCTGTGGGTGCAGAAATCTTACACCCACCCCCAGCCCCCGCTGCCCAATGTGTCACCTGTGCCCCTTTCCCTCCTCCTTAGATTTACTTGGAGGGAGCTGCTCTCCGCTGCTGCTTGACTGCCACATGCTTGTGCACACACTTGTGCATGCACACATGCACCGATCCAGGTGCTGCCCCCCTGCCTCCAGTCATACTTCCCACTCCCCCCAACCCCAGGCAGCCCCCTTGCAGGGTGAAACTCTGCCGGTCTGCAAGGGGAAAACTGCAGTTTCCTGCATTTTTCTCCGTTAAAGGAGAAAATCCACATTTTCCCACAGTGAATGGAAAACTCGGATCCCTGGCCTTAGTCATTTTTCTTAAGAAATATTACTTGTTTTTTCTCAGGTTTGGGCCCCAAAAATCCTCTTCCCAAGGGAAGCACCTATGGCCAGAGTGATTGTCCCTTCATGACAATGATTTGTCTCTGTCTTTAAGTGAAGAGCAGGAGTTTGGGTGGGAATCTGGGCTGCTAGGCTAGTAGCCTGCCATCCCTACTCAACTGGGACAACAGGACCTGCCTTCAAGGAAGGAATCCAAATGGGGAACGTGAGCGAGTCTGGGCTGATTGATGCCACGGACTGGCAGCTTTAATAAGAGTGAAGAATTGTGGCTGAGAGGGCAGTGGGGATTCTGAGCTTCCAGTGCACTGAAGTTGGCCTTCATCCTGTTGTCCTTTTCAGGGTCGTCTTCTCAACCTGAGCTGTTCGACGGTTCCCACCTTTGTTTTGTCCATCACCGCTACCACTCAGGTTTGTTCAAGAAACATTTCATCACCTGCCATGCCCAGGGCTCCCTTTCCACATGGGGGAGTTAGCAGTTCATGGCCTCCTGTGGTCTTGGGGTTGAGAGAGAGCCCTTGGGTAGCAAGCGCTTTCACTGACTTGCAAGGTTTCAGCTGTTTGTGTTTTTTAGAACTGTTATTACTTGGAACTGGGCTTGGATGAAATAGTGTTCAAGTGGCTTTTGGCTTTGAGAGCAGCAGTGTCACCTCAGATGGGTGCCCATCACCGTGGCCACTTGTATTTTTCATTATGGGTCCAACTTTATAAGCTCCACTCTTGCCAATTTGATGGAGAGCTGACTGTACTTGGCCTTGTGCAACAGGCAGCCAAGATTATCTCAACCCCGGTGTAAGCCAGAGAAACGGGCACAATGGGAAATCCAGTTGTAGCAAATGGACAAACTTCATCTAAAGTAAAGCTCACTGAGCACGGCAGAAGGGAGTTGTTGTGCGAATTGCTGTTTCTGACAGCCATAGAATTTTTAAGAGAATGTTATCATTGGTTTACTTCTCTACCATATCTGCAGTTCACTTATACCAAGCAAACAGGTTGAACCAGTGGTGCTCAACCTTTCAGCACTATGGGCCAAATGAGGAGCATGGGGCTGACCAGGCTGGATAAAACCCTGTGCCAGGATTGGGCCCTGCACTGCCCCTTCCCACTAGGATTGGGCTCCAGGGGCCCCATGCTGTCCCCATTCAATCCTGTGTGTGGGGACCAGGCTCTAGTGGCCCCATGCCGCCCCACATGCCCAACCTGGCATGCAGGGCCATGCCCTGCAAGCCTCCCTATGGACTCGTAAGGAGTCCTGCAGGCTGGGTGACACAGTGACAGGGGCTGGGGATTGAGCAGCCCTGGTTTGGACAATTAAAAGGGGCTGCTCACTTTCCCTCTCCAGTTCTAAAGCAGCAGCACTTGAAATGCAGGTCCAAGGACAGAAATGTTTCCCTTCCATCGGAACCATTTAATTGCTGATGGGTTTTGTAGGAGGCGGAACTGTGGACCAAAATTGATTTCACACTGTCCCTCTAAATCACAGCTGATGAATCGTTCTTGTGGCTGCATGGCAGAAACCATGGGTAGCTCTTCTTTAGTTAATGCCGTTGCACTCCGTTTCCATGACTGACCGACTCTGTATGATCCCTGTAGGCTCTGGCTTTGATCGAGCTCTACAATGCTCCTGAGGGACGTTACAAACAAGACGTGTATCTGCTGCCTAAGAAAATGGGTGAGTAAAGGGAACTGCTTGATCTTGAATGGCATTAAAGGGGTCTGTAGAGTCCTGTCGGCTTTGATCAGAACCCTGCTAGGTTGTTAGCAGTCACAATCTTGTCACGCTTTTCAGTGCTGTCTGGTCCATTTCTTGCTCCTTATAGGAGAGGAAACCTGTCGTCCAAAGGGACAGCACAAGATTGTTCAGCAGAGGTTGCCAAAGCGTATGGGGGTTGAGGGGGCCTTGCTGTTTGTGTGTGGACAATTGTGACAATGTGTGTGTACCTTTAGTGAGCCAGCACTCGCTGCCGACCAGCTGGGTTGGATTTGTCTTTGTTCTCGAATGCTTCCTCTGCCTTCCCAAAGAGGGAAAGGGGCTTATTCTGCCTGACAGGGCTCTAAGCCACAGTTTTCTTCCCTGCCCAGTTTGGATCAGTTTGCTCTTCTCTCTATGCTGGGAGATCAGGAAGATTATTTTAAATATTAAGACTAAGGTTTGAAGCGGAAATATGTAGCTGGTTTGAAGGCCAAGTTACCATTAGTGGTAGCTTTTGTGGCGGCTAAGAGGAGTGGCAGCTCAGCTTCAAATACAGTATGTTGGGAGCTGTAGCCTAACTTAGTTTGAGTGAGTGCAGTCAGTCAACATCAGCGTTAACCATGTTTACATGAAATCTAGGAAAGTGGGTTAAAAGCAGTTACCTTTTGCAGCAGGCCTCTGCACACTGTTGCTTGTTGCATTGGTGCTTCTCACACAATGGAAAGCCTAGAGGTGACTCTTGATAAAGCACCGCACCTCTGAGCTTGTAGCCTTACCTTGCACTTTACACATCTGAACTTTGGCCAATCGCATTGCTTATCTAACAACAGCCTGGAAGTGCCCCGATCAACCGTTTAAATATCTGCTTATGCCATTAGCACATACTAATGCTGGGTGGTGACAAGGCTTTTTAGAGCTGTTAACATGCAGCACTTCAAGCACATAGGGCTTGCTCTTTTGGAACACACCGATCCATCTGCTTTGACGCATCGGAGAAAGATGAGTCCTATAACTGCAAGGCCATCCCATGGGTTGGTTTCTTCCTGACTTTACACTGGCAATCCTTCTTCCCTGAAATATGAAGCTTGGGCATCTTTGTAACTCCCAGCTCATTCAGCCTGTAAGCTTGTATCCCTTTTCAGTGCCCTTCCTCCACCTAATCTATGCAGTTTTTCCTAGCCCGAGACCTACAATGGAAAATGTTCTTCTATGGTAAATTGGATCCAGTCTATCAATTTCTCAACACACAACTTTTTATTGGGTTTATCTGGAACTCTGATCCTGTCCACTGTATTCTGAATAAGTTCATCTACTGCACTTATCCAAAAAGTGTGGGTGCCATAGAGTAGTATGTTAGCACGAGTCTGCCATTTATCACACTGTCAGTCCTGTAGAGTGTGCTTAGAAGGGTAAGTCCACCTAACGTAATTTCCTCTGGTTTCATCTTTACTCTGCCCAGATGAATATGTTGCCAGCTTGCACCTGCCTTCTTTTGATGCTCATCTGACGGAGCTAACAGACGATCAAGCAAAATATATGGGACTCAACAAAAACGGGCCTTTCAAACCCAACTATTACAGGTAACTTTGTATTTGGGGGGATTAAAGAATCTGTCTGATATCTTCTGATGCCCCTTTTCAGTGGTAGGATCATGGATTGAGCCTCTCTTGTGAGCCAACAAGGGTTGGGTTATTTTCTCTTAGTGCTGTCTAGCTGACCGGGACATGGACCAGCATCCTCCTAGCTCTGGAGAGATTTGGAGAATTAGCTAAGATGAAGGTGTGGAGCTGATGCTTGGGTGGGTTGGGAAATTGCATTGGAGGGGACAAGAACTCTGACACATGGAGGGGAAACAGTTCTTCGCAGTTGCAAGGTTTTGCTTTGATGTTGGTCCCCAGACAGTACTCAGTGCCTGACTGGTCTCCCCCTTTCCTTCCATTACAGATACTGATGGACCGTAAGGGTGAAGGACCAGACCACACGAGACAGTTTAGAGATTATTTTTAAAGATCATTTTATTTTGTTTTACTCCTTTTCTTTTCTTTTTTTAAGCTGTTTTTATTTTTCTTTTATCAGCGTGATTTTAATGTCACTTTTTTGTTTGACTTTTTCATGTGATCGCATCTTTCTCTGTCTGATCCTGGCAGAAAACCTGGGATTTGCTTTACTGCTCCATGGCCAAAACCGGCATGGTTTCAGGCTTTCGCTCATGGAAAGGTTTCCTTTCCTGATCATGAAGAGTGATTAATTCCTGCGGTGGTTTTTACCTTTTCCAGTGCACCTTAGCTGGGATACCTGAAAATACTGATATACTGTACTATATGTTTTTTTTTCTGTGCAGGATTATCTGCAACTTCTAAATTGCCTTAACGAGCCCAGTTTTTAGCTGCTAGTTCAGTGCATTGGAGCAGAGTGGCACCTAATGGCCAGCTAGGGAATTGGTGAATAACCCCAGACCAAATTTCCTATGTGGAGGTGGTTTGGAGCCTGGTAAGGGTAAGCCTCAGTGGGTGTTATCTATTCTGTTTCAGGGTGCTAATCTGAATTTGAATGGGGATTGGTAACCAGCATAATCCTCATTTTCCTAGGTATTTTTTTTTTAGCCAAATTGCACCTTATTTGAGTTTTAAAAAATCATTTTTTTCCTTTTATTTTTGAGCCTAAAAAGTTTTAATGGAGGTGTTTCCGAGTGGAAACACTGTGGGTCTGTCGGGGGCAGCTAAGAACATGCTGCCGCCCGTCCAGCTAAGGGCAGTTCTTGTTGGAGGGCTCCAGTGTGCGTTGGAGCCTCCTGTGAACTCCCTGGGCTTCTAAGCAGAAGTGAGTTTAGACACAGAGATGGCCCTTCCTGCTCCTGTCCCCTGCTTAACATGGGAGACATTTGATGATGTAGCACCTTTTTCTGTCAGCTTTTCTAGCAGCATAGCTCTCATGCTGAAGTCTAAATCCTGCGGGCGATGGACCGTTCTGCAAAGCACTTAGCTCCATCTTCAGGCTCTGTTCATAGCAACTGAACGTTGGAGGCAGAATCCTTGGCCAACTGCACTGCTGTCTTCTAAAGCCTTTCAGCTGCTTTAATCAGCTCTTCCCTCCCTAGCCCCTTAGGTGGCAGGTTGTCCTATTTTACTTGGTTCAACATATTCCAGCTCCGTGCAGAAGGGCCAAAATGCCTCTGTGGTTTTTCAGCCCTTGGCTCCAAACCTAATGTGACAAAAATCACAGCACAGAATGTACAGCCTTGATTTCAATTCATTGCTCAGTGAATGTACAAATGAAAGAGCTCCAGGGACCCAGCTCACAAAGGGATTTCTGCTGAGCATGTGGCATTGGTCCAGGTACTTCCAATTCTGCTAGAATCTGCTGGTACAAAGACAATCAAGGTGCTACAGTGGACCGCAGCCATCGCCTCTTGTGCTCCCTTGCTATCCGAGGTCACTTTCTGGCCAATCTTGCCCACATACGGAGGATACATTCCTAGTGCTCTCTTTAAGAAACCTACTTCTGCTTGTTTGTGGGTGATGCTGGCTGCTTGCTCTGTGTAGGAGATAAAAGCTCTTAGTTGATCAGAACAGAGGCTAAGTTAAGATTAAAAGGGGTAGCTCACCTTCCCAAAACCATGCAGTGCCTCCAGTGGCTAGTCTCTTATTTCCCCACTCTCTTCTTTACAGTCCAGCACAGCTCCTTGGTCATCTTTTCTGCCCCTTCTCTGAGATGCACATAGCTTCTTTGCTGACTCGTTGCTGCCTTTGGCTGCCTCTGACTGCCAGACCCGCTTCCAAAGGACCATGCCTTGAGTGTAAGGGTTGCTGTAGTCTGCCCTTGTACCCCTTCCTCTGCAGCCTGGATTTCCACTGAACCAACAAGTCTGTGATTTCTTATGGGCGGGGGGCTGGAGGTCTTGGTCTCCTTGTCTCTCACCCAGTGAAGAGGATATGGCTGGGAACATGGGGAAGCTCTCTTAATTGTTGATGCAATCCAGAGGGTTTGCCATGCACCAGGACTCTGGCTTGCGCTTTCCCTCCTCACTTTGTACGTGCATAGGAAGCTCTTGTAATCGCAGCCCTGGATCTCAGAGCAGACTTGGTCTCCCACTCAACCAAGCAGAGCCCACATATGTTCCTAAATGTTTGCCCTTGTGACTGTTGAGGGGGTGGGATCCTGGGCAGTTCCAGAGTCCAGACCCCCTCTGTTCCATTTGTCTGTCTCAGTGTTAGTGTCAAAAGGAATCTTAGCTTAAGGGCTTCATCTCTGTATAAGCCATGTAACAAAAGGACACAATGGAACAAATGGTCCCACGTCTAGGGAAACCTTGATTCTGTCAGAGGGAGCATGTCCTCATCGACCTGGGAGGGATAGGTTTATTTTGTATATGAATGATTTTTAATGAATGCAATATTAATCCTTGCAGATGAGCAATAAATCATTAAAGTCTAATTAAAAACGATTAGAAAAACGACATCTCTTGCCTGGGAAGCTTCTTTTAAAGACATAGCCTGGCACCTTCTCATCAGCAGGTCAGCTGTTGCCATTTTGGGCATGGGAACAGAGCTGTTGGTTGCCCCTTTTAATCAGGACCTGCTCAGACAAACACATGGTGGCACACACTTCATCCTCAGCAGCTTAACTGAGTGGGTGGTGGGGAGAGGGGCATACAAAAGTAGCCATTGCCGCAGTGGAGGTTGATCATGCCAACAGTGTGCGACTGCTCTAGGTATAGAGTTGCACTGCTATCCCTCTGTTCATCCTCCTGATGAGGTGGTCAGACCTTTAATTGATGGGCTATGTAACTGGTAGGCTTCTTATGGATACAAAGCAATGACCTGGAGACACAAGTCTTTCTTCTGCATTTACTAGATTCATTCAGACACACTGGAATCCTTCTGTACAGCCCCACTGACAAGGGCTCTGCTACTGAGCTGTGTTATACTGGCGTAGGATACCGATGCATCAGGCTCCTGTTACGACCAGCAAATTCTGAAGCAAATTGCTAAAGGAATCTGCTCTCTATCTGCCTGTTGATACAGATGTCACCTAGTGTTTGTGTTTGTTTAACTAGTGTCCCTTCAAGGTCCCTTTACAAGCCTGCTGATGTTCAACACAGTCCTGTGGATGAAGTTTTAGAGCGGCAGTTCCCAACCTTTTTAGACAGTGGACCGGCAAACTGTGGGCCAATATACTGCAGTCTGGAAGTGATGGGCATACTGCAGACCGGCAGCCAACCCTTTTTTATATACTCAGTATAAAAAAGGGTTGGCTGCCAGTCTGCAGTATGCCCATCACTTCCGGTCCAGCAGCCAAGCCTTCGTGGACATGGCCCCGGGGTTGGGATCCTCTGTTTTGGAGGATGGAAACTGTCTGTCAATAAAACACTTGATGACCACCTACTCTGATTTTTTTCCCCCCCTTCAGTCCTTGCTGCTCCCTGGAGGTGCAGTGCAGATATATTTGATGACAAGGTGCTTAGCCTGACATGGGGGCTCCCTGAAGAAATCAGGTTTAAAATTGAACACCCTTCCTCTCAGGCCTAGGATGTCTAAAATGGTTCAAATTCCAATGTAACCAGTTTGCCAGCCTCATTACTACTGGCTTAGCATGTCCAGGGCTAGTGTCTGCCAGGGGTTCACCGAGTGGGGAAAGCCAGAGATGTGGATCCTATTTGTGGCTTCAATTTCTTCACATAAACGCTAGTGCTGATCTTTGGGTGAAGCACCGACGCCTCTGAGTGAAAAGCACCAGGGAAGCAAGAAGATGAAACTTAACCAGACTCGGACGGAAGTTCCTTCCCTTAGTTATTTTTTTACATTTTTCTTTATCACTGAGCTTTGTTGAGGTGCATGATTGCAGTTTGAAGTCAGCTGAGCAACCCTCATAGAGCTTTGTTGCAGACAAGCGCCGGCGCCATGTTTCCCTGCCATCTGCCCGCTCTATTTTGCGTTTCCGGGGTTGGTAACAAAATCCTGCTCAGTCAGTAGTGGGGAGGAGGAACTTTGCCAGTGTCGACATGCCTACTTCTCTGAGCAAAGCTGCTTGGGGCCACTGGCCTTTTGGAGCCTGTGTACTGGGAGCTGTTAGGACTCCAGGATCTCTTATTAGCTTGGTTGCTGGTATTTTAATAACCACTTTATAGCAAGAGAATGGGAACACCTTAAGCCACTTTTAAAACAGGGCAGTGGGCATAGACCCTCGGAGGTAGCCTCACTTGGGCTTGGACCCTCATAATCAAGCTAAACAGGAGCTGGTCACATATGAACAACCTCCTACCGCCCATCTGCTCTAGAGCCTGCTGTGAGCTGCCTGCCACCTTATGCAAAAGCTGCTTGCGTGGATGAGCGTGCATGCCCTGAGCAAGCAATGCAAAGAAGGGCGTGTTGCCATTTCTGCCCCCGGCACCCCCAGGACTTCCACCTGTCGGCTTGCAGCTTACAAGGCTACCCGGCTCCAAGCGGGCATTGTGGCACTTGCCGTACTACCAGGCCAAACCCTGGTACTGTCCCGTCCCCTTCTTTTCAGAGCCCGGCTGAAAACACCAAATGGGTGACTGGGCTCTTCCTATGAAGCTGCACGTAGCCCATGCTTCAGAGAGCCAAGCAAATAGCAGAGACCGCTGCTGCTGCCGGACTTGGGATAGGTTTGTGCTTTTTTTGGAAAATTTTTCATGTCCCAAGTCAAATCGGCCAAATCCATTCCAAATTTGTGAATCTTTCAAGAACCAGATGTGGCCCTGCTACCGGCAAGCATCCTCCACCCCACGTGGGGCTTCAGAGGTTTGCGATGTCTTTGGCAGGCATCCTACGTGCAGGCCCAAGCCCAGAGGCTTGGGGTTCGGATGCCCCCGAGTTTTGCTTGCCCTCGGCCATACGGCCGCAAGAGCAAGCTAGGGAGGAGTCCCCTATTTCCATAACATTGGCGTGTATCCGAGATCTTCCCACTGGAAGTGAAAGTGGGAGGCCAGTGGGAAAGCCACTTCATGGTCATGGTGTTTCCCCTGCTGAGACAGGTCCTTAATGCTACCAGAGCCCCTTGCGAATACAAGAATACAGACCTGTTGGTTGAGAAACGATACCTTTTATTAGCCCAACTAAGAAATCGCAAAAAAAATTCTCTTTTTTTCTGCAAGTGTTCGGGCTCAAAGGCCTGTCCCCGTCTTGAATATGCCCAGAGCCTGATGAGATGTTTGCATTTCTTTTTGTCTCAGACCATCACGGCTACCAAATACGTTCCTGAACCATTAATACAGGGGCTCTTTTTTTCCCCCTGGTGGAAGCAATTGTGGGGGCTAGAGGTACCCTGGGGAAGCTGCTTGAAGGTTTTGGCACTAGCTGGGGCCTGGGGACAAGCGGGGTCCTTTCCTCTGCCACTTGTTTCCTGTTCAGCCTTGGGTGTATCACTTCCTCCACTTGTGCCTCAGTTTCCCCGGCGTTAATGACGGTGCTTTGGCAGCTCGGACCAGGCCATGACGCCTTCAGGCCTCAACTGGGCTCGGGGATGAGTTTAAATCGCTTTCTGTGGTCTACCTTGAGATGGCCACACCTAATATGGCCGCCCGGGCGGGGCGCAGGGCGGGGAAGAAGCTCCTTGATGGCCACACCCAGTATGGCCGCGCAGGGCGGGGCCCATCAGCGGCGGTCATATCCAGCATGGCCGCTGGGGGGGGGCGGAGCTA